AACATTAAATTTCAACTTGCAAACAAATTTACACAAAAAGCTGTCGCAATTTTGCAACTTTTAATGTAACTTTCTTAATTTAAGTGTTCTACACGACACTTCTATTCCGTTCTAACGAATTACGAATTTTGATGCGTTAGCACGTTTTTACTTCAACTTGGTAAAATCAATAAAGGAGTAAATATTTGATAAAAGTACTATTTATGTATATTTATTTATTTTTAAACTATCGAGCACAAACGAGAGGCTATTTAGGTGGCTTTAAAATAAACTTGAAATTCATTGTTACTGTTTTTTTTTTTTTTGATTTATACTTTTTTTCAACTAGTTTTTAACTTTAGTTTAGAATGTCAAAGCATAAATGCGTTTATCAAGAAGATTTCTCGTTGGAAATTAAAAAAGTAAAATGTTTAGTATATCATTCATAACCATGGAACAACGGGGTCTAGCTGATATTAAGGGCAACTTGAAATCACAAAAACATATTTCTAAAAGATCAACAGCAAGTTGTTCTAAAAAAGTCGATTCTTTTTTTGCATTAAAAGTAGCTGATGATGATATATATAGATGATGATGATGATATATATATATATATATATATATATATATATATATATATATATATATATATATATATATATATATATATATATATATATCTAATGTCAAATAGCCTGCTGCCGGGGGCTTCAGTACATACATCGACTGACAAATAGCCTCATTTGCCGTGGAGTGCTGCTACATCGACTGAGGGTTTGGTATGGGTCAGCAACATTTTCAATCATTATTCTTCGTTTTCCCTCATCGTTTTCTAAAAATGCTCACTTAATTAAGGCTAGCAAAAAAAGTGAGCAACTGCGCATATAAATATGCTATAGTAGATATATATATAGATATATATAGATATGGATATATCATAGCATTGGATTTGACCAACGCATACCACACAATTAAACATCATTATTTATTTTTTAACACAGATTGCAATAATAAGTTAATAAAATTTATGTATTCAGAATCAATAATTACAACTAAATTTTTGTAGACTCAAACCAAAACTTTGATTGACGCAAGCAAAAATATGATATCAAATTTATTCAAATATTGTTCCATATTCTCTTAAAAGCATAGAAGCAGAAATCGTAACAGTAACCACAATTCAACTGAAATTTTTATCTGTTAGATTCAATATTTTAATATGCATAAAGTAGAAATGTCACGAATAGGGATTTTACCAAATACATAATACCAAATATTCGGCTCAGCTGAAGCAGCGAATATTTGACTGCTGAATATTCGGTGAACTTTGGTAATTTTGAAGGTTCCGACCTACTTCATTGAAGTGGATACATTAACTAAACTGTGTGCGCTTACGTTTCATTGGTGACTAGGCCGTGTCACAGCACACATTTGTTGACTGTTATATCAAATTGTTTTAACTAATTTAATTCGCAATCATTTGCTATTATAAAACGATGAAAATGTTTTTATCATAACCTACCACCTTGAATTTTAAGTATCAAATATGCATATTATTTTTTAAAATTCAAAATTAAAAAAAATAGTAAGTAATTCGTTTTTATGCTGTTTTTATCGTTACAGTATGGTATTCGGCTGATTTGTTTGCAATATTCGGCCGAATACCGAATTTTAAAAAAAGTAGCTGAATTGGCCAAAGACCGAATAGTGACCGAATATTTGTAATATCTCTAGTATAAAGGAACGCAATTTTAGTTGTTAAAAACTTTGTCCAATAATACAGCTGCAACAGTTTTTTGCATTGACACTTTAAAAAGAATTTTTAAATCTGAATTATTCTAAACAAAATTTATTTAATTTTTTAAAATTAAATGGGTAGCTTTTTGCGCTGATAACAAAAAAATAAACTTTGAAGATTTTGAAGCAACGGTAAATGCAATGTTTATTTTAACTTAAAAGAACCAAACAAAAGTATGCTAGGTATAAGTTGTCCGGTGCACATTATACGTAACACAAAACAAACTGCAGCAGACTATTTTACGATATTGAAGTCATAGTTTTGTCGTGAAAACTGAAAACTTTAAAGACTTGATTTTACGGAAGCCAAAAGATTTTGTGTCATTTAAGTACGCGTTGGCTTTCGTTGCAATCCATTGCAATTTTTTGTTTGATATTAAATTGATTTCAATCAAATAAAAAAACTGCAATCCGTGATGGACAGAATATTTAAAATTTTTATCAGGTTAAATTTTTTTATTTACGTCCGAATGCATGTATTTGAAAAAAAAAATTCAAAATATAGAGGAAAACGAGACACGTTGCGTTGAAGTTTCTTCGACATAGGAAAAGATCCTAAGAAAAGCGCGATGAACACCTTCTAGCAATTAATGTAAAAAAATGTTTTAAGGTAAGCAAAAGATGAAGTATTTCTAACAATTTGTCAAATTTTATATGGAAAAAAAAACCTACAAGTATTCAACTGTACTATCTCGGACTTTTAGAAGTACCTGCGTGGAAAAATGTTCAAACTACTTGTAATTATTGCAATGATAAAGGAATTGAATTTTTTTTTGTGGTTATTAAAACACCGCGGATTATTACTTAACTATTTTAATTCTGAGCCAGAACTCTAACCACGGCTGCAATTTAAATAATCTGCTTTGATTAAATCAAATAGGTAAAAAAAGTTACGATTAAAAAGTTGACGGAATGGAAAAAAATGCAAATACTTTCGTATGAGAAACGGGTTGACATTTTTAAAGCTTGAATAGACTTTGTTGGTATATACTTTCTATCCTGCCTCATAATGGTAACGTAAAACTCATTTTCTCTCTAATTAATGTACAATAGACAGATAAACAAAATAGATTGGACCAATTTACTACCGAATTAATACTATAAGCGCTAACGAATTATGGTTTTAACTGCCAGGAATTTTATGAGTTATTTTGGAAAAGAATTGCTAACGCAAGCCGGATTAACCCCAAAAAAATACGCTTAATGCATGCGGTTCATAACAATCTATCAACATTAAATATAAAATATACTAATTGTTTCTTTCTTAAGCCTGGACTGGCTTCTATTGACTTGGTATTTTTTGGCTATATATACTGCATCAGATCCTTAGAACCTTCTCGATTTTCGGTTAACGAATAAAGCATTTTTTAACTTCTGTCTGATTTTCGAAAAGAATTCAAGATTTCTGGATATAAATTTTAAAAAAAATATATTATATGGCCTCTTTAATCCTGTTTTAAGGCCTTTGGAGATTGCCGAACAGCTTATTTGGACAGTTTTTTGCCGGAATTTTCGCCTTCTTCATCGCTCCTACTTCTGTAGGAGCGATGAAGAAGGCGAAACTTTCTGTCCCGTTTTTGTCTTTTTTAAAATGGTCGCCCTACTGTTGGATCGCCCTCTGTTGGATATTATAAAAATATTTAAAAAGGCTTTAAATATGACTAAACTGTCAAATTTTAAGAAATCTTTTATAGGAAACTGTCAAACTTATAATGTAATAAGATAATTATGAACAGTCAAGTTGAGAAGAAATTTTTAATTTAAAAACATTTTCCGGCATGTTTATATTATACCTTTTTTAAAACTAGAAAAAGCAACATAAATTGAACTTGTTATTAAATTATTCATATTGACCAGTCTTTAGAAAATATGGTACTTTTACAATAAAAAAAAAACAGTTTTTTTTTTTGAAAGTAGTGTGTATATATTTGTGTGTTACATATATATATAACACACAAATGTATGTATATATATATATATATATATATATATATATATATATATATATATATATATATATATATATATATATATAATATACACACACATATATATATATGTAAATATAAATAATATATATATATATATAAATATATATATATATATATATACATATATATATAAATAATATATAAATAATAATATAACACCTAACCTGTGTTATAATATATAATGTTTATATATATATATATATATATATATATATATATATATATATATATATATATATATATACACATATAAACACGAAGTGTCGAAAACAAAAATAAGATAACGAAACTCAAAAATTGAACAAATAATTTTAAAGTTTTAGATTAATCTAAATTTTGATATATACTTATTTGAAAAAAAAATTAATTTGATATGTATTTATTAATATTTGAAACAAAATTTTAGGCAACAACAAACTTTTTGACACTTACTCTTCAACCTGACAGCTTCTGAGCTACATAGCAAGACAACACCCAACAGGAAAAACGCACCGCCTAATACCATCTAAGTAGAATTAGATAATTTCTTTAACAATATGTATCAAAAAATAGAAAATTAAAAACCTAAAGTAAATCTCGAATTTATAATCAGTAATCTTTATATATTCAATCAATGAATCATTAGGAAACTCATTACTAATAAATTTCTTACTGTTGCGTATTCGCAGTAATAAACGTTTCACCCGTTTATTAGTCGAAGACAGTTCAATTAATATAATTAATTAATTCCTAGTGAAAACTCATTAAACAGATACGTTTTGCTCTCTACAGCATTTAATATTTCACTCGCTAAATAGTCAAAACACAGTTCAAAACAATTTTTTTAAATTGTTTGTTTTGGTTCATTAGCCACAAAATTTGCAAAGCGTCAAAAACGATAAACTCTCAACATTCATTCAGGTGCATTCATTCGGAACCAATTTGCATCAGTATCTATTAAGAATTTAAACCTAACGTAAAATTCGCAGAAGGTGAAAAAAGTGTCGTAGGACAATCAACGCGAGACGCTCAGGTGTATTACAAACTTGTGATTGTATTTAAATAATTCTTTAAAAAATTGAAAAAATTTTTTTTTCTCTAAAAATTCAATTTTTTATATCTATTAATTTACATGGAAGCACATAGTTAACAAAAACAACAAACAAATATTAATAATATTTATATAAGGGATTTCAATATCTAACTAACAAATTATCCCAATAAAAAATAATGTTTAAATAAAACAAAACCAAGTAAAGTAAAAAGAAAAATTACTTATAATATAAAACAAAACGCTAACTCGCTACAAAAATGAATGTAATTTTATGAAAGTGTATTTAATATTTTACATTACGTTCCTGTTAGAACTTTAGGAAGGAAGCTCTGGTAAACCAAATTCGTCAACTTTTATGCCATCCTGATAATGATAAATTGTTATATATTTATATCAAAAATGCTGTTTTATGTAAAATAACATTTATCATAATTTATCATATAATTTCATTAACCTTTGAAAAAGGATGTTACATTATGTTTATGTTTATATACATTACAAAATGTTACATTAACAATTTTTGAACTAGGCCGTTAGTTAAACCATTTTTATGACAACCAAATTATGCAAATTATAATAATTATGCTATAAAGTTATAAAAAAAAATTCTTCTATGTATTTACCTTCGTACGAGATTTTGTGGAAGATGGTTCACCAGGTAATGAACCTGGTACAGATGGAGCTTTGGAAGCATCGTCCAAGTATGCTGCATCGTCCATGAACATTTCGTCACCAAGAGCATCTAATTCTAGAAATTAATAAAACGAATTCAAAATCATTTTTGCAAAAAAACACTTTCAACAAAAACAACTTAAAAGAAATCACAAAAGCGCTTAAAACAATGGCACTTTTTTTTCGTTTAAAAAATCACAAAAAAAACCTAAACACAGTAAAAATTTAGAAAATTAAAAAATATTTAAACAATCATAAAAACACCAATATAGTTAAATAAAACATGAAGAAAATGCAAAAAGATCTTAAAAAATAACAAGTAATAGCGCCCTAGTGTAAAAGTATAAGACTTTTAAACACCCAATGTAACACTCTTTCTAACAACCACTAATTAAGTTGGGAGGTAACGGAAAGTAAAGAAGATAATAAAGTAGCATAAAACAGCTGACAGAAAACTTAAAAATACTGTTAAGTGTTTAAATCAGGAAAGTGTTTATGGGAAACAGAAGAGAACTGCAAAACGTCAATGAATAAAAAAACTAAATAAATGAAAATCAAAAAAAAAAAAAGGAAGTAACAATTACGGTAAAAAAAAAAATAACTTTGCTGAAAGATGACACAAGATTGAGTTCAGCTTGATGAACCAAAATATAAAAACTGGTTTCAGCAGCAACCATATGTTTGTGTGAAAGCGCGTAGGGTGTATTAAAGTTAATTAAAAAAAAACGCCTTTATAAATTTATAAACGATTATTTATACCATATAATATTTCCACAAGAAAATATTTTAACTTTATAATGGTCTGTATACAAAATTCACTAATCGCCTCATTAGCGAAGGAAATCTAGCAGCAAAATATAGTAGTAGATGAAAAAAATCCCTTACGATGGGACATTATATGGGGGGTTAATACAGAGACCGTTTCTAAATTAAAAAAGCATCAATAAAAGAACCAGCCTTAAAATGACAACAGTATTTCATATAAAAACAGATTTATAGAGGTACAGAATAGAATTACAAACACTCTATAAAAGTGTTGTTATTAATCAATATAAAATTCAACAGCCACTGTTCTGACCAATCAAAAAGTGATGACTTTTTGCCAAGACTAAAGTATATAGTCTTGGCAAAAGCAAGTCGTAATACTTTAGAATACTTGTCATCAGCAAGTAGTAATACTTTAGAAATTAATATAGATCTGGATCTAATATAGTACCAATGACAGAGCCTTGTAGTACCTAAAAATTTACTAAAAATGAATGGGTATGTTGTTCATCAAAGACAACTTTAATACTGTGGCTAAAAATAAATCAATGTTTTAAAATCTTTTTTAGATAAATATAAAGAGAGCTTTTGGTGAAGACCAGCATGCCAAACTTTATTAAGCCTTGTCAAAAGCAATACCTCTTACCTTACTGTTTCCATTAAGTACACCTTAATAGAGAACCTTTTAATTATAAAAATTAACAAGCCAGAATTAGAAAAAAGATGAAAATTTGTATTGATTGTTAATAAAAGTTCTTTGCAGATAGTTCTGCCTAACCCTTATGATAATCAAATTTGACTCAAGAGGTGAATTAGAGGAAAAGTACAAATATGTAAAAGTCCCTTGAAATAATAAGATAAAAGATGGAATGTTAGACTTGCATTTGTTAATAACACTGTTAAAGATTTTCCAAAAGTCAAAAATTGGTAAAGAAGTACAACAATAAGTTGAGCCCGATAAAGAAGTTGAATAAGAAGTTGAGCCCGATAAAATAGGTTAAGTTTTAATGAGATCATAACACAGTCCAAAACAATCAAAAGAAATTAAAGAAAATCTGAGCTAGGGTCAGAGACAAAACACAAAGCAAAGATCGAAGGTAAATGATTAGGGTTGTATGGAAAACAACTCACAAAGTTAACTTAGTTAGAACTAATTAACAAAGTTAGAATCCCAGCCTTAAGGTGAAAGTAAGAAGTGTGATGATAGAGGAAATCTAATACAAAAAAAAGTATAAAAATTTTTTTTTATAGTGAAATCAAAGCAAGATCAGAACTACCTAAAGAAGAACAAACGAAAAACTGAGTACATGCTAGGATGCAAATTAAACAGTAAAGTTAAGTGATTAGGGTTGTCTGGAAAAACAAGTCACAAAGTTATTATTTTTTTTAAAGAGTAAAAAAATGACACCAGGAGTGTCAGTGGAATTAGAGTCAAACCAATAAATATGATGAGCATTAAAGTCACTAGTAACAGTAATACTGGCTGATGAAAAAAAACACATAAAAAAGTATGAAGAGGATTTAAATCTGATATCATGACAGGTGAATTGATAGGTAAATCAAATGCCTAGACCAAGCAGGTGACTACCAGAGTCTTTGGAAATAAAATTTAAAAAATAATAGTCATAAACACTGAGATCTAAAAAAAAAAGAAAACTTAAATTATTCTCAGAATGAGCAAATAGGTCTGGTGAATTTTGAAAAAGGTAAGAATTAACAAAATGAAATAGTTACTTTGTAGACCACAAATAAACAATTTGGTATTTTTGATGATTTTTTACCTTCAATATTTTTAGATACCATGTTTAAACTGATGTCATCACCTATTTAAAGCAAGTGATGACAAAAAAAAAAAAAAAAAAAAAAGTACTTTTTTTAAATTAAACACATTTATGCACATAAAAATTACAAAATAAATTATATTTTTTGATTGGAAACCAGTAACTCAATTGATTCCATGTGAAAATTAATTAATTAGTTTTTAAGTAGTAAGTAATTAGTAAGTAATTAGTTTCAGTCAAGGGCAAGTAGGCAATCACCAAAACTAACAAAAATTGCTTGCTTAGATATGCTTCTCTTCTCAAGGATATCAAAGGCATTTTTCTCCATGAGGTCTGGCTATTATAAAAATAAATATATAAAAATGATTGCTTAGCTGAAAGGTCAGTTCCTTTCATTGTAACATTATTTCCAATATAGCTTCAAGCCATTACACAAAATGTGATAACATTTTTAAATTATAAAAATATCAATTTTTATTTTGTAAGATGAAATTTGTATAAAAAAAAAACATTCTAAAACTCTTACAGAACTTAAGTCTAAAATAAAGCAATGCCTTTAAAAAATCAATCTTGAAGCCACACAGAGACTTAGCAGTCTTGACTTATTCATGGATTCATGGATTAATTGAAAACATATATTAAAGACCAAATAATCTGTTTATTACTCCTTAAGCTAATTTTTTAACTCAACATTTAAGGCAGTTAGAAAAATATATATAGAAAATTGTTCATTAGAAAATTGTCCAGTTTTTTTGTCATCACCAGTTGTAAGAGAACTTGGCTCAATTATATAATGTTTATTTTTTAGTCAGTAATAAAATTTAAATACCACAAAATTTAATATTGAATAAGTAAAAAGCATTAATGTAATTGTCACACAATTATTGTAGTTTTAACAAGTGGACTTGAAAAGTGCTGTAATGTGAAAAAATGTGGGACTGCTAAAGTGTTATTTTTACTATTTGATTTTAACTTAACATTAAGAAGAACTTAGAAAATATTTTTACATAAAATTTTTAAAACAGGAACACCTAATCTAGCCATCCATTTTATTTATCAGAAAACTGATTTTTTTTTTTTTGAAGCGTTATTATTAACAAAATTTCATCAAGACTTTTTCAGTTATCCACAATAAATATAGAACTTTTATTCGCTATATTGACTTAAACATGTCTAGAAAATTTTAATTTATTTTTTTCCTTTTATATCAAATTACTGCTACTATTTTGATTGCAAACTAAAAAATAAGAATTAACCTGCATCAAGGTCTGCATCATCGATTTCTGGCATGCCATACTGACGACCAAGAGCTTCTTGAACCTCATTTGCTTGTTCTAACATGTCTTCCATATCATCTTGGAGATCCTAAAAATCACAACATTTAAATGATCAACTAAAATTGTCAGATAAAATGATAAAATTTTATTTGATACCTCAATTTGATCAATGTTAATTTTTTTATATTCTTTTTTCATTTGTTGAACACCAAGTTTCATTGCATCAACCTAATAATAAAAAAATATATTTATAAGAAAGTTTATTTGTAGAACAAAATATAATTTAAATAATGAAATTTTATTTTCAAGTTAGCATTAAAAATTAAAATGAAAAAAAAATTTATCATACAATATATTTGTACATTCACCATACTACATATTTGTTTGTTCATTCATCATACTACATAATCGTACATTTATACATACATATTAGGATGTCTCAAAAATTTTTATTTTGAATATCAAAGTGTGAAAAAGAAAAATCATTATCATTTTGTTTTAGTAGCATTCAACAAAAAATTTCAGCATTTTTAGCAAAATTCTTTTATATTTTTTTTAAATTGAAATTGTTTTGTCTAATGGTTTTATAAAAAGCAGTTTTATCTGTTGGACTTTGCATTGTCAAGCTTAACTTGAAATAGCTTTTAAGCACTGGAGAATGGCTCAGATTGTATTACTGGGTCAGCATAAGCAAACAAAGCAGGTAATTTAGATAAAGCTAAAATTTGTTGAAAATAATTTCTAATACATTCGATACATTTCTTGCTTTAGGGAAAAAAATATTTTAAATGCAGCAAGTTTGCAGCATGAAAGTGAGAAGAGAACTGCCAACAGACAGTTCTCTTCTCGCTTTATGGCTTTTACGGGCTTTATGGAGCCAGTGGTATTGACTTTAAGAAGCTGAATGTTTAAAGATCAACTCTGTGCAAGAAAACACATACTGTAGTAGAGTCAGAAGCCTAGATAATGATAAATGAACAAAGTAAATAGTTTAAAGCTAGTGATTCACTTCGACACTAACATTGTAAGCCAGTACACAAGTAAAAATGTGTTGCTGGTTGTAGTGTACAACACTACAACCAGCAACACAAGCAAGAATAAAGGAGCCATAAAGAATGTTGTTGATCATGCTTTGCTTAAATCTGTTTTTTGATTGATATGCAGGCATTGAATATAAGAGAGACTAGTGTTTAATGTCATCAAACATTTTTTTTTGGCAACAAAAGTCTAAGCAAACCTCTCTATATCAAACCTATCTATATATCAAAAACAACATCCTCAACAAACTGCTGCCTTTTGCTGTTCCGTACAAAAATAACACAGCAAATAAAAATTATGGAGTCCATATAGCTATTGTCATTTTTGATATTTTTGTCATTGAAAGGAGTTATCTTTCTTTTGCTACGGGAAATTACTAAGGAGGAGCATTTGTTGTAAAATGAGAAAGGCATAGTTGCTTGGGAGCAAAAGAGAATCTAAGTCATTATTTGAGCTCTCTAATTGTGCAAAACATTTTGTTGTCATAAACAATGCCCCTGAATGCAATATCAAATTGATCCAAGGCTTTATTGAAAGAACATATGACAAGGAAAGTTTCAGGTCACTCTTTTGGTGCATTACTATACAAGTAAAACTGGTGCATTACTAACAGTAGAACTGAATACTTTTAAAAACTAAACTTTAAAAATTACTAAGATTTAGTTTTTAGAGTGTATTCTTCAACTCTCACTCTTCTAACTTTTTTGTTTTGTTTATATATATAAATATATATAAATATATATATATATATATATATATATATATATATATATATATATATATATATATATATATATATATATATATATATATGTGTGTGTGTGTGTATATGTGTGTATATGTGTATATATATATGTGTATATATATATGTGTATATATATATATATATATATATATATATATATATATATATATATATATATATATATATATATATATATATATATATATATACATATTGCTAAAAAGTATTCCTAATTTTACATGTCTTAAAAACAAAACGAACTATACTACCACAGCAAACAGCTCAGGAGTCTGGAGTCATAGCATGCCATGACATAAGCAATCAGCTGACAGGTGACAGCACACAGGCAGAATTTCGTTGACAAGTGCCATTTTGCAGCGGACAAAACAAGTGCAACTTTTTTGGTTTGTTTCATTTTCTTAAGTCTGGTCCGTGTCAACGTCACAGATGTTTTTTAATAATTAAAGGAAGTATCCAGAAGTTTCCAGAAGCATGCAGAAGCTTTCAGAAGTTTCCAGAAGAAGCATCTGGGGGCATCCAAGGGTATCCAGAAACATTCAGACGCATCCAGAAGCTTCCAGAAGCATCGAAAAGAAGCATCTAGAATCTTCCAGAACAGGTTCATTTTACTATATAAGAGACATGTAAACCGACATGTAATTCAGTCAGTATATGGAAGTCAATCGGTCAGTATTATCAAGATGGTTTATCGAAGTGAGTTTTATCAAAGTGTTTTATCGAACAACATCAATACAAGAAGTGAAATACAACAAGTGTTTCATAACATCAATACAGTCCACATCCAACCAAGACGTTGTGTTCCACAGAATATTATTGTATCATCACAAGGTAAATGTAACACGGTAAGCCTTAAGAAGCGTGATTATTTTTATTATTTTTATGACTTCAAGTGCAAAAATGGCTCCCGACAGTCTTGGAATGGAACTAAGAAAGAAAATTATGGTCGATTACGTAAGTGGAATGTCACAAAAAAGTATTTGTGATAAATATCGCGTGAAAAAATGGACTGTATCAAGATTATGTTCCAAATATCGTTCTATGGGGAAGTCAGCAGCAGATAACAAAGGTGGAAGACCGCGTTCCACCACTTCTAGAGAGGATTTTATAATTGTCAGATCCGTCAAGAAGGATCCCTGGATATCATCAGTCGAGATACAAAAGCAATTAGAGCTGCCTGTTTTGGACCGAACAATCAGACGACGTGCTGTAGAAGCTGGATTGTTTTCTTGATGCCCTGCAAAGAAACCGCTGATTTCACTAAAGAACCAGAAGAAAAGACTCCTGTCTGGAAAACATCTCGATTTACGTTTCTGCCATAAGACCATGAAGCATGGTGGAGGCAATGTAATGGTCTGGGGGTGTTTTTCTGCTAACAGTCTAGGTCCAATACATCGAAATGATGAAATAATGTTTTATGTATAAAAATATCCTGAAAGATGTTATGTTACCTCATACTGAATGGAATATGCCAATAAAATGGGTTTTTCAGCAAGACAACGATCCAAAACACACTGCAAAAGTAGTCAAACAGTGGTTTCAAGACAACCACCTATCAGTGATGGATTGGCCGCCTCAATCTCCGGATCTCAACCCTATCGAGAACCTGTGGCAGATCGTCAACCACAGAATTAATCGTGAAGGTGTTCGTGATAAGGATCAACTGTTTGAACAAATCCAAAAGACCTGGGCAGCGATTCCACAAAGTTTCATTGATCACGTGATTGAATCTATGCCTCGAAGATGTAAGGCTGTGATCAACAACAAAGGATTTGCCACAAAATATTGATAGCGAAATACAGCTTGGTCAACACTTTATGGAGTTGCACTTGTTTTGTACAGATGGAAATTATTTTTTTTTTAATACTTTTGATTAATTTATTAATTTTCGTGTACAAATAATGAACTTTAAGATGAATAAAACTTGAAGATCGTTGTCTCTAAACAGTAACATAGTTATTTCTCTAAATTGAAAAAATGCAGCACTTTTATATAAAGAAACTAAATTAGCATCATTTGGTTGCACTTGTTTTGTCCGATACTGTATGTATGTATATATATATATATATATATATATATATATATATATATATATATATATATATATATATATATATATATATATATATATATATATATATATATATGTATATATATATATATATATGATAAGCAACTTCCATTCATTGGAAGTAGGTTATTGGTTCCCTCAAAAAGTGAGATTGGACATGTAAGCAAAATTAAATTGGACAAAATTAATAATATTCTTAGAAATAAATTAAATTTGCAACAGTGGAAAAATACCACTGATGTTATAAATTGGTTCTCCATAATCGATAATAAAAATAACTGTACATTTATTCAATTTGATATAAATGATCTTTACCCCTCAATAACTGCAGATATTTTAGATAAAACAATTGAATTTGCAAAAAGCCACAGTTATTCCTGAAGAAACACAGTTATTCCTGAAGAAACAATTCGAATAATAAAACATTGTAGAAAAACCTTACTTTATTTTAATAAGGAAACTTGGAAAAAGAAAAACATACATAACTGCTTTGATGTAACATTGGGCAGTTATGATGGAGCAGAAATTTGCGAATTTGTTGGATTATATATTTTAGATTTATTAAGTAAAATAATCAATATAAATGATTTAGGCCTTTATCGCAACGATGGTTTAATAGTAATGCGTAAAAAATCTGGTCCACAGCTTGATAAAATTAGAAAAGATATTATAAAATTTTTTAAAAATATTGGCTTTCAAATTGAAATAAACATAAATTTAAAAATTGTGAACTTTCTTGATGTCACATTTAACCTCTCGGAAAACACATATAAGCCTTTCAAAAAACCAAACGATGAATTATTGTATATTAATATTAACTCAAATAATCCACCCCAAATTCTAAAACAAATCCCGATTTTAATTAATAACAGGCTTAACCAAAACTCCTCTAATGAAAACGTATTCAATTCCTCCAAACAGGTATTTGAAGATGCCCTTAAAAAAAGTGGTTTTGAAAACTTTGAATTAAAATTTGACCCTGAAAAAAAGAATAAAAAAAAGCGAAATAAAACTAGAAATGTAATTTGGTTCAACCCCCCATATAGCAAAAATGTTTCCACAAACTTAGGAAAAGTGTTTTTAAAATTGATCGATAAGCATTTCCCGCCCTCTAATAAATTACATAAAATTTTTAATCAAAATACTATTAAAGTTAGCTACAGTTGCACAAAAAATATGGAAAGAATTATAAAAGGTCACAACAATGAGTGGAAGTTGCTTATCAAAAAATGTGGTATATAAATGTGTTGTCTCCTCTAAGAATGTACCTGATAAACAATATATTGGCATAACAGAAGGTGAATGGAAAAAACGTTTTGCTAATCATAAGCAATCTTTTAAAAATAAAAAGTATTCAAAAGACACCATGCTGTCAAAATATATATGGGAATTAAAAGATAAAAATATTGATGATTTTACACTGAATTGGTCCATCCTTAAAACAGTGCCTGCATATAACAATATTTCCAAAAAATGCATACTATGTCTACAAGAAAAATTTGAACTAATTACACATACAAACCAAGAATGTTTATTAAACAAAAAATCGGAATTGATTTCTAAATACAGGCACGAAAATAAGTTTCTCCTAAAAAACTATAAAAATAAGTGAGCTCAAATAATAGTTACATTAACTCCCCTTTGAAAAAAATATATTATTTTTTAAAAAAGCTCAAGTAATCATTTCTAAAGAACTCTTTTTACAATAGTGTCAGCAAATTACACAAATGTGTGAAAAATTGCAGTAGTTAGGACATGTGACTTCCTGTAATTTAATTTTTGGTATAAATTGAAGTTTTATTAATTTGATCATTCATTTCTGATGAGTCTTTATTGATGAAACACAGTGTTAAATGAGAAAAAAATTTGCTAAATGATTTTCTACTAATTTGTAATTGCTCTGTTCTTTAAAGAACATTGAGCACTCTTTTTGTAGAATACATTTTAAATTGTTTAAATATATATATATATATATATATATATATATATATATATATATATATATATATATATATATATATATATATATATATATATACATATATATATATATATATACATATATATATATATATATATATATATATATATATATATATATATATATATATATATATATATATATATATATATATATATATATATATATATATATATATACTTCCTACAATATATATGCAAAATAACTATAAATATTTACAGTTGTTTTAGTATCTTTTAGAGTTTGTGTAGCAAAGTTAGCTTGCTCCATATTAAATGATTGGTTGCGAAGATTTTCGAGTTGATTTTCATACCTAAAAAGATATTGAAAAACATATTTAATATATTTATAGCATTATATGAATAATATATAAATTATTGAAAAACTAAGCAATAATTTTCAAAACAATTTTCCAAACAAATCAAAAATGTAGTATACCAATAAAACTCATTTTTTTCTTTTAGTTAGAGTTAATTCCTTAATTGATTTATTAAAAAGTTTCAAGTTAGTTTTTTTAAACATTTTAGAAACCTTTTTTTCTAACTATTGAAGGGAGGGGGTATTAAAGTTATGGAAAAAAGCAAAAGGTTGTATCAAAATGTGGCTTTTAGTCAGGCTTCATTTTTGAATAAACTATGGTTGTTCAAAAAAGGTGAAAGTGCTCTTATACTTAAGTGTTGTAACTTTTCTGTCAGATTTAATCTCTGTGATACCATGTGGAATATATTTTTTTGCTTCTAAAACCCTAAAACCTCCCTCAACCTAACATCTCCCTCAATACCGCTGAAGTTTATATATTAAATGTCTCTAATTGAAATACTACTCAACCTCCATCATCAGCTATTTCTTTCTTTTAAATATGCGAGCCTGATAGTTAAAAAAATTCATGTAATTCCTTCTCCAGAAGCTGGTGCATTTAACAATCCTTTGATATCCATTATAATTCAAAAATTGAAAAATCTTATATATTTTCTAGTTTAAGAAACTTATTTTCAGAAGTATCTTTATGCTTTTAAATATAAATTAAACATTTATATTAAACATTTACATTAATGATGTAGTTAAACTTGTAAACTTTGATAATAAAAGTTAATTTGTAAATCTTTTCCTTCTCTTTTTAAAATTTATTCTTAACTTGGTTTAAACAGCATTTTTTTAAATGGTTTAATCCCATCAACCCTGTGTATAACATAATTCAAAAATCTTACATTTTCTTCTGCTTTAAAACTCTCATAGCTTTTTGCTTTACCATATTCTAAAAATTAATGTATATGAAATTATACAAAAATACCATATAATAAATAATGAATGGAAGTATATATAAATAAAGTAAATAAATAAATAAAAAAAAAATTAATAAAAATATAGCTATCTTATAGTAAGGGGCAATTGCAACATATTTGCTTTAATTGCATCATATTTGCTTAGAAAAACTTTTTTTTTTTTATTTCATTCGTCACAATTCTACTGAACAAAAATAACCAATATGTTTTATGTAAAACAATTTCATTTCCTTGAAACAATTTTTAGTTTTTTAACTGCAGTGAAATGGGTACATTCTTAAATTTCAAAGTAAATTAAGGCTACAAAATCAGAAATACAAAAAACTTTGTTCCGAGTATCTGTATTATAAACTCTTCTTAATTACAACATGCTCTTAATTTTATTTTTTTAAAGTTTTTAATTACATCTTACAACTTCTTATTTACAACTTTCATGTTGTAAATCAAGCAAGACAAGTGCCAGTTAAGAACTTTGAAATTTTGGTAATATAAAGATTAGTGCTTATTTTTTTATTTAAGTCCTATCTATCAAACATTTAAAAAGTCTTAAATAAAGCTAAACTATAAATAAATAAGACATAAAAAAATAATACTGGTATTTCATTTGTTCTCCTTTAAATTATTATTTTTAAGCATTATTTGTATCCTTCATTTACTTTTCTCAATTAATTGTTAATAAAATGTTTAATTAATTTAAATCAATTATAAGCTTTGCCTTAAGTAAAAATTATTTAAACATTCAAGTGCACCTATTACTTATTGCATTACATTGTTGAAATAAAAATACTGAATTAACAAAAAGTTAACCAACACAAATAATAAAATATGTTGATTGCTTTATTTCTCACTCTCTCTTTAAACTAGCATATTTTACCAACATTTTATTCTAATGTTTCCAACTTTTCATTTTTGGTTAAACCACAAGAATAAACATCTTTGCATTCCTATTTAGTAAAATCTATGTTTAGGTTATAATGTTTTTCTACATTATTATTTTAAATACTAGCACAATAATAGTAAACTGAATTTATATATTAAAATTTATATCAGTTATAGTTTTATAAACATAAGGGTTGATTATCTAATTTACTCAATGTAAAATAAGAAAATGAAATTTATTTATAATTCAAAATTCAGAGTTAAAAAAGAAGCAAAAAAATAGGACACTACTCTAAATATAAAAGCAAAAAAAAAAAAAAAAAAAAAAAAAGGAAATAAACAATTTAACAAGGCCTTCAAATTTAAAAACCAAACATAATGTGATAGTTGCAAAACAAATTTAAAAACCAAACAAAATGTGATAGTTGCAACCAAAACGAGTTTCTATTAAACTTGTTAAAGAATCAAGTTTAGCTCTGAGCTTCCTCCAAGACCTACTTAATACTTTAGAAAGCCACAGACAACTAGAATTTTAGTTACAAAGAAGGTGAAAAAAAACATTTGTGAAAATATATTTAAATGTTCATCATAAAAAAAAGGAGGTAAATATTACAGAATTATGCAAATATTAAATTTGGTAAAAAATACTGCATAATCACAGATTCCGAAAAAAATTCTGTGGATACAACAATTAAATTTATGTTTGACAGGCTAAGTGATACCAATGTATTTTCATATATAATTGTTTTCAATTCGCTGTTGGCTATTGTAAATCAGAATGTACTTCAAATTTGAGGCGCAGCTCTTAAGAACTTAACCTAAGTAACTTTTGATTTTAATGTTAGTGAAATTGACAAAGGAACTATATATGCTATATTTTAATATTTATAAACAATTGGACTATGTTTGTTTAGAAACAAATAGAATATGATAAAACTAAGTGCTTGTAATACTTTACTTAAATTGTTTCCTGTGCAGTGGCCATGTTTGAATATATATTTGTTCCTATATAAGCAGTATATATATTTTAATGTTATATTATCAAAATCAACTGATAAATGACTTAATAAAAAAATACAAATGAAAATAAAATATATAAAAACGAAAAATTTTTTTAAAAAAAGTTTATTTCATATTTATATTACAATAAACTTTTATAATAAAGCTTTTAAAAGTGTATATACAGTTTCATAGAAAAATTATACAACAAATTCAAGAAAATTAACTTTAACTTTTACAATAATATTGTTAAAAACTTAATTTTTTAAGATAAGCAAACCTTTGAAGGACCTTCCCTCATTTTCTTCATCTGTTCTTTGTATTTTAAAAGATCTCTATCTAGCATTTGTATTTTTTTCTCTACTGATTCTCCACGACTATCAACCTTGGTATAAGTTTGATAATTTTAGTAATAATATAATAAATTTAATAATTCAACAATAACAAAAAAAAGTAAGATAAAAATATTTACTTTTTAAAAAAATAATTTAAAAAAATTCCTCAAAAAAAAAATGCTGCAACTTAATTAGTATTATAATTTTGTAATAAACTATTATTACAAAACAACTATCTAATTTATAAAGCAACAAGATGTTACTAGATTATAAACTACATACATTACTTATACAATCAGTCAGATTTGGTGGTGGAGCTTTAGGTTTGCTACTTCCAAAGATCCGATTCATGGTTTGGTTTTCTGTATTCTAGTTGTACTCTAAACAGTATAATGTAGAACATTAGCGCAAAAAGTAAACTAAAAGTTTAACGCAAACAAATAAACTTTATTTAAAAAACAAAATTAACTTTAAAAACCTGACCTCAAACTATATGAAGCCATTAACGTAAGTTAGGCAACAAAACAAACAAATAACAACAACAACAATAAAAATACTTTTCTTATAAAAACATATATTTTAAGCACTTAAAATATCAGATTAGAAGTACTAAAAACAGATAGAAAAAATGGAACAATAAATCCAAAAAGTGAGGTAAAACATTATACTATTGTTTAGAATAGCTCAAATAAATAAAAATAAATAAATTGATAATAAAAACTAATAATAGAAAACGAAAAGAAACAAACTAAAATATGTCTAAATAAACGTTTTTTGCTTCCAAGAAAAGACAATATATTGTCAAAAATAGCTTTCTGCATCAATTCCCTTGAAAATTTCGGACAATACAGCTACATATAAAAATCGAACTTGACTTCTATAACAACATCACTATGCATTCTACCAAAAAAAGATAGAGGAGAACTAACAAAAAACAATAAAATAAACAATTTATCCTAAAATTAAAGCAGAAAAACTAAAGGAGAGCTGTCCATGTTATTTATAAAAAACAAAATGATTACATTAATTTAACATTTATACTTTTGAAGTGAATCTGCATGGAATGTTTAAAATCACATTTTAAAACTATAATAAAAAAAGTACAAATTTTAAAATAGAATAAAAATTCTCTACTCCAATTAATTTATATTTTAATTTGGATTAATTCTCAGATCTATTTACAGCCTTTAAATATATATATATACTTTCTGTTAATTTAATTTACGTATTTGATATGTTGCAATATAACAAACAAATTATTATAATTATATTATACAAACAAATTAATTGTTACATCTTAATAAATTAAATACGTTTAGTTAACTATTAAAACTAACAACTTGTAATGCATTAATA